CTTTAAATCATAGTCAACAATCAATTCAAGTGTAATTATATTTTTAATTATTATATTGTAAGATAAAACTAACTAATTATAAATATAATGAAGTTACTTACTTACAAATCATTTTATTGCAAATGTTATTTTCTTCAAGATGTTTATTTTAGCATTAATATTATTTTTCCATCTCATTGAGCAATTTTTCTTTAAATTGACTAATTAGTTTTAAGACATGTTCAAAACCCCTTAAAATCACATAAAATAATAATAATAATAATAATATAATAATAATAATAATAATAGTAATAGTAATAATAATTTTCAACAGATTTGTTTATCACAATCTCTCAAAATTAAAATTTATATTAATTATATAGTTTATGTCATAAATATGGTGATTCATATGTAGGTTATAAAATTTTTATTTATATTGTCCAGTTTTACTAATTGTCAAAAATTTTAAAATGTGATATACTCATTATATAACCTATAATATTAAATATTATATTAGATTTATTTAATATAGATACATATAACGTATAATATTTTATTTGCATCTTAGTAGTAGTAGTAATGTATAAACTAAGATTTCATACTAAATTCTTACACAATAATGAAATAATTTAGTGAAAAATAAAACAAACTAATGATGCTTTAATCATATTGTAATCATACTTAGATAATTTTTCATATTTAATTATAAAATACGTATCTAAATTTTTAATATGTATAGTCTATTTAACTATTAGTCGTTAGCGGATAACGAATGTATTAGTAAATAGTTGATTGCTGAATGTATCTAAATTTTTAATATGTATAGTCTATTTAACTATTAGTTGTTAGCGGATAACGAATGTATTAGTAAATAGTTGATTACTGAATGTGGGACACTGGGACTATAAATGAACCACATGTTTGCAAACCAAATATCGTTCGAGTTCGAATAACTCAAATGAAACCTTAAACTTGTTTGTTAGTCGATGAACACGAGCTTGTTTGCAAACAAAAATGCAAGCTCTTTTTTATTTATATGTATAGTGTTTTCAATAAAATTTATAAAATAGCAAAAAATACACTTTTATTTTCAAGAGTTTAATCAAGTTCGAATAAACCGAACTCAAGTTAATCAATTAACTTTAGCAATTTGCTTTCTAAATTAGCGGAACATGAACGAGCTAAAACTTTGGTTGAACAATTTCACAAATGAGTCTGACCACGAATTTAAAGCTCGAATAACAAACGAACAAACACAAACAATGTTCGAAAATAACTAGTATAAGCTCCAAATGTTCAAGCTTGGTTACTTTAGTTCGACTACAACACTACAGATAGAATTTATATCTCTCTCTAAAGACACCTTTTTATCACTATTTTTTATAAGACAATTTTTGTTGACATTTTTCTTTATCCAACCAATGGCTTATAGGTGCTGATGAATTTGTTGTCCTCTCACACCCCCTGCAGCTGGGATTTTACTGCTTTAGTTGATGACATTTGCACTCTTCTTTCTTTTTTCAAAACTTTTTTCTCTTGTGCATTTTGGTTGGGGTGGTTCCTTTTGGTTTTGTTTTGCTGTTGTTGTGAACTTGGTTCTTTGTAGTAGCTTTGGTAGTTTGCGGCCTTGTTGGTCCCTTAGGTTGGCTCATGTTGAGCCTTCCCTCTTGTTTTCATAGTCGAGCTTAGACTTGATTATGGTCTCGTAGTTACCACTTGGTTACATTTTGAGTTTAATTTTATGATGTT